TTATTTACAGATATGCCACCGCGATTTTGACCTTTTTAATCAAGTTTGACTTCGTCATAACCATTGATGTGGTAGATCCAATGCTCCAAATTCATTCTTATTTCTTTCACCAATGTTTATTCTCATATGATCCTTTACCTATATATATATATATATATTTCTATTTATAGTGTAATAATCTTACCATAATTATGTCTTGGTGCCCAAGAAAGCAAATTGCTCGAAAGTAAAATGGGTTATCCAGGTAAGCTACTCGAGCTTCGTATTTATCCTAATGACTCGGATTTATTTCGATGCGTTCACACTGGCTAATATCTTTTACGCCTTCATAGTCCCAGGTCGAGCAGTGCGCCTAGGGCTGGTTTTCGGTTGTCCGACCTCCATTGCTTAAATGACGTGTTGGTTAGGTCGTTGGATCCCATCTCATCTGGTAATTAGGTCAAATATCAATCCCTGAGTCATTTTCAGGTTGAGCTGTGCTTCTTTGAATCTATTTTCCCCGACCTGATATCACTAGTCGACTTGATTTCCATAGTGAATCGGCCCGGTCGAGTCATACCTTTAGTTGTATCATCAAGTCCCCCCTTGCCTACTTTGTGCGAGCTCGACATAAAGCTAGCTAATAATTATGGTCAACAAGATTGTCAGGTGCATTCACAGACTCCTCAGGAAAAAAAAAAAAAAAGCATTCATAGACTCCTCGTGATTTTTAGATTTTTTAAAATTTTTAAAACTTGGTCAACATGATATTAGATTTAAAATTTTTAGAACTATATATATATATATATATATATATATATATATATATATATATATATAGAAGTACGCTCAAATGAGAAAGAAGCACAATGAAAGAAATAACAATGATTATACACCATAATATATGTCAAATTAACGGATGAGATTAATCTGTCAGCATGTTGATTAAGCGGTGTCATTCTCGTAATTAATGTCTAAGCTTACGCCCAAAGTCATATGTGAGAGGGCATTTCAGTCTTTCGCAGTTTTAGCATAGGTAAATTTTTTCAGACCCATTAATTGCTTACACGCTTTTCTTGGAAGGAGATATTTTTCTCCCAATTTCGCCGATGCTACCATTAACGAGGGAATGTGAGCTGATTTTTTTCCCTTTTTTTCCATGCGAAATTTTTCAGATTTACGTTACCATATGTTTATCGAGCTGTGAAGGAAGAATCGTGTGGAGTTCTTACCGAAATTTTTTTTACCCATATGTGGCGTTTTTTCATACAGATTCAAAAAAAAGGAGAAATTCTCCAAAATCGGAGAAAACATGTAAGAGTATCTTCAATTTTTTTCTCAATTATACAATTTTTTAGAAGCCTCGTTGTTCGTGTTATTGCTAACGGAAATAACGAAAAAAATAAATAGATAGATAAATGTGTGTTTATTTTGTGATTAACGTTTTTTTTTTGTGTGTTTTTTTGCACTTTATGATAGATATTCAGTGCAATATGGTCTCCAATTTCATTGCGTGTAGGTTTATACTCTGTTTTCATACAATATATTATGAGAGACGATATGTGCTTGTTATTGTCATGTTATAATATATTATACTCTATTTTTAAATAACATAGTTGGTTTCCGAACCGATGGTGATGTTGCCGAGGGCGTGAAGGATCACGGCGTACAGGTGGTCTAGGTCGTGTGTTTAAATTTATTGACGTATAATACGAGTGTAATGAATTTCACTCGACTCCTTCAACTCGAACGGCCTCCGTGCCTGCAGAACCCAACGTCGGGGGTGGCCTTGGCGTCGGGCCTCCAATGCCTAAGTCAGTGCTCAGATCAAGAGAGAGAGTGTGTAGTAATGAAATGAGTAGAGAATGTCAGAATGAGGTACCTTAGCCCCCCTTTTATAGGGGGAATGTACCTTTGTGGGCTCAAGTTGGGCTTGGCCCATATCGTGATGCTTAGTCCATACGTGGGCTTATCTTCCAATATATATTCGTGTTCTCCATTAAACCGGGTGTAGTATAATATCCTATATCATCTAGTCCCCCCCACTGTGGTCGAGCAAGCATAACTCGATCCAAGAGTGAAATGCCTCTTCGAGCTTTTTTCTTCAACTTGCCACTAAGATCGAGCATCGAAAGTCGAATGACCATTGAATAACCACATAAATATCCTCCAAATGAGCTTTGAGATTTCAAGATCGAAAACTGAAAGACCACGGAGGTCGGAAACTGAATGATCTGACGTCGAGGTCAAAAACCAAAAGATTTGTCAATAAGGACAAGAACCTAATGACTTGCCATTGAGGTCGAACACCGGAAGTCGAACATCAACTGAGGTCGAAAATTGAATGATCTGCTATTGAGGTCGAACATCGAGAGTCGAGAGACCGTTGAGGTCGAAAATCGAGAGTCGAGACCGCTGGGGTCGAAAGCCGAGAGTCGAGAGACCATTGAGGTCAAAAACCGAGAATCGAGAGACTGTTGAGGTCGAAAACCAAGAGTCGAGACCGCTAGGGTAGAAAACCGGGAGTCAAGATCGCTAGGGTCAAAAACCGAGAGTCGAGAGACCGTTGAGGTCGAAAACTGAGAGTCGAGACCGCTGAGGTCAAAAAACTGAGAATCGAGAGACCGTTGAGGTAAAAAACTGAGAGTCGAGAGACCGTTGAGGTCGAAAACCGAGAATCGAGACCGCTGAGGTCGAAAACCGATAATCGAGAGACCGCTGAGGTCGAAAGACAAAAACTGAGTAATCACCGATAAGGTCGAAAGCCGAGAATAGAGACCACTGGGGTCGAAAACCGAGAATCAAAACTGCTGGGGTCGAAAACCAAAAACCGAGTAATCGCCAATGGGGTCGAAAAACAAGAACTGAATGACCACTCCCTGAAGTCTTGAATTTAAAAATTTGAACTTATGCCGTTGTGTTTCGATCATCCTGTTCGAGCTCTCTTAGACCACCCCGTCCTATCGCCCCACGGTTCAAAATTTAAAATTCAAGCCTGCTGTATATCCTCTCAAAACCCAAATGACCTGATTTCGTGAACTGCTCTGAATGAACTCCCTCGTCTACCACCGAGGTCGAAAAATAGATTTGACAAGACCAATCCAAGCAAAAACCGTCAACCTGCTCGTACCGTAATGAATCCCATCTACCTGCACTGCTTGAGCAATAATCAGTATACTCGACCCACCATTGAGGTCAAAAAATAAATTTGGCAAACCAGAATCAACAATGAACCACCTACTCGAGCAATAATGAATATACTCGGCCTGCCACAAAGGTCAAAAAATCAATTCGACAAAACCAAGATAAAACACAATCAACCTGCTCGTGACGGAATGAATCCCATCTCCCTACCTTTGAAGTCAAAAAATCAATTCGACAAAACCAAGATAAAACGCAATCAACCTGCTCGTGACAGAATGAATCTCATCTCCCTGCATTTGAAGTCAAAAAATCAATTCGACAAAACCAAGATAAAACGCAATCAACCTGCTCGTGACGAAATGAATCCCATCTCCCTGTCTTTGAAGTTGAAAAATCAATTCGACAAAACCATGATAAAAAGCAATCAACCTGCTACTGGGATCGAAATCACAAATACAGCATAACCAAGCCAAATAAAACCATCCATCTTCTCAAACTATCCATAATAAACTCCCGCCACCGGGATCAAAATCACAAATACAGCAAAACCAAATCAAATAAACCATTAACATGCTCAAGCTTTCCATAATGAACTTGGTTGACATGCCAATGAGGTCCAAAGCATAGATACCGCAAAACCAAATCAAATAAATCTGTTAACTCGCTCGAGCTATAGCGAGTTTGATCGACCTGCCACTGAGGTCAGAAGCACAAATAGCACAAAACCAAATCAAATATAACCAAGAAAAAATCATCGACCTGCCTCCGAGGTCTCCGATAGGCTCCATGTCTTTACGACCCAACACTAGGATCGACCACCCAACCCGGAAGCCTTAGTCATGGTGGATTTTGTCTTCCCTCAACCTGCCACTGGGTTAGGAACAAATGTGCAATGATAACAAACCAATATATAACCAAGAAGAAATCATCGACCTGCCTCCGAGGTCTCCGATAGGCTCCATGTCTTTACGACCCAACACTAGGATCGACCACCCAGCCCAGAGGCCTTAGTCATGGTGGATTTTTTGTCTTCCCTCAACCTGCCACTGGGTTAAGAACAAATGTACAATGATAACAAACCAAATATAACCAAGAAGAAATCATCGACCTGCCTCCGAGGTCTTCGATAGGCTCCATGTCTTTACGACCCAACACTAAGATCGACCACCCAGCCCGGAGGCCTTAGCCATGGTGGATTTTGTCTTCCCTCAACCTGCCACTGGGTTAGGAACAAATGTACAATGATAACAAACCAAATATAACCAAGAAGAAATCATCGACCTACCTCTGAGGTCTCTGATAGGCTCCATGTCTTTACGACCCAACACTAGGATCGACCACCCGGCCCGGAGGCCTTAGTCATGGTGTATTTTTGTCTTCGAGCACATGCCCACCCTCGAAGGAGTGGTTGTTACATGCGAACACCCAGCCCGGAGGCCTTAGTCATGGTGAATTTTTTGTCTTCGAACACATGCCCACCCTCGAAGGAGTGGTCGTTACATGCGACCACCCAGCCCGGAGGCCTTAGTCATGGTGGATTTTTTTCTTCTAGCACATGCCCACCCTCGAAGGAGTGGTCGTTACATGCGACCACCCAGCCCGGAGGCCTTAGTCATGGTGGATTTTATGTTTTCTAGCACATGCCCACCCTCGAAGGAGTGGTCGTTACATGCGACCACCCAGCCCGGAGGCCTTAGTCATGGTGGATTTTTTGTCTTAGAACACATGCCCACCCTCGAAGGAGTGGTCGTTACATGCGACCACCCAGCCCGGAGGCCTTAGTCATGGTGGATTTTTTTGTCTTCGAACACATGCCCACCCTCGAAGGAGTGGTCGTTACATGCGACCACCCAGC